ATAAATTAACTTAAATTTTTAAAAGATAATACAAAACTTACCGAAATACTGAGATACTACCGTGATGGGGTATGTGGGCCATAAAAAATCATTCTCTGGCTCAATAAAATCTTTTATCATGTTATTGATATTTCCTTTTTTTGGCCACTTACAAAAACATATTTTTCCACAGTAAATAATCCATTTAACTGGTACAATGGAATATTTATTTTCCGGCGCAAAAAATACAATAACCCACTTAATAAAATGAAACACAGTATAAAATATAGAACTAAGAAATACATTTAACCTAGCTAATTAATGATTATTTAATCAGATAATATATTTATTGGAAAGTTAAATCTCTAATATAACATTTTTTCACAAATGTAGATATAAAAGTAATCATATTACATTTATTTATGTAATAAATAATATNATCATATTACATTAATTTATGTAATAAATAATATATTAAGTATTATGTATATATACATTATAAACAGTTTGATTTATTAAGTATACTTGCCCCCATTTTTTCGTTGAATTTTTTGACAAAATTACAGATTAAAATTTGATTTATTTTTATAAATCATACTAAATATTGTATTTATTATAAAATAAAATTATTTTTAAGGGCTTATGTTAGGGGTAAATTGCGAAAGTTAAATGGGGACCAATTATTTTTTATTGGGAAATGGTCAAATTGAAGTTGACCAGTGGATAATCTGTATTGTATTATTACTTTTTTAGTTATAGATGAGTGGGCAACTCAACATGGAAAATTTGTTAACTATGCGTCATGGTAAAACTAGAAGTCGCTAAATACNTATGCGTCATGGTAAAACTAGGAGTCGCTAAATACTACCCCGCTCCTCAACTTTAATAAATCTTTAAATGCTAATATCTCAAAAATTAAGAATATAAAACTGGTTATCGACTAGTCATAATTTTATTTATTTAGACCATTTTCTGTTTAATAATAACAAAAAATAATAGGTTCTCATTTAACTTCCGAAAGTTATTTCATATCTTGTATTAAAGTACACAAAGTACTTGAAGGTCATTAGGTCCTGGAGCATTTACATTAAATTAGGGCAATTTGACCAAAATTTGTTCGGAAGTTTTAAATTTACGCAAGTTCCCCTACATTCCATATACGCTCTGTATGCTAATAGACTTTATGTATAAATCAAGTGCTGTACTTGTAAATTTGAGAATGGTGATCTTTACTAGGATGAATAGTTGACTAAGGTTTTAAAAGAATTAAGAGTAAATTTTACTATTTACCTGTTTAAAATTTGAGCTCTCCATAATTTTCAAAAAAGATGATTACTCATAAGTGCGCCGAGAAAAAGTGATGGTTGAAAGAGTACTTGTTTAAGACGCGTTATAAAGCGAATACAGTAAAAAGTCACGGAAGTCTGGCGTCAGTCATACTTACACGTGTCGTCGGTCATCTTTGATAAGGACAATATTTAGATCTCAATCGTGACCTCTCTGCAACTTTATAGTGACTTCGTGTGAAAATTTATTTAATATCTATTTTTATATAATATAATTAGACTTCGCGTTTGGGACCTAAACAAGATTATGAAAACTATGCGAGGTCACAANGCAAGATAATGAAAACTATGCGAGGTCACAAACATAAATCGTAAATTAGTAATTGTAGTTACGTTTGGGCGATTTCAAAATTTTTATTTAGATATCACATAGATCTCTTATTGTTATGTCGTATTTTCATCAATAATTGTATTCGCATAGATGTTAAAGTCAACGTATGCACATAGGGTATATATTGGATTTAAATTAAACCGCGAAAAAAATGAGAATCAAATTCAAATTATATGTACATTATGGAAAAAGTAGTTGTTTATTACTAATTAGTAATTTTATGATGATGGAGAGGCTATGGGCCTCAAAAACTGATTTTTACCTATAAGATGGTTGAGCTAATTTTAAATTAAAACTTCTAATCATTCAATAGTTTGATTATTTTTAGTTTCGATGCGAAACTGAGAAGGTAATACTTCTACTATGATGTGTTTTTTATTTTTGTGTCTGTTACTACTTTTTCATAGCTCTATCGAACCGATTTCTTTCAACGATGCGTCATAAGATCACAAATCGTATCTAGTCGAAGACATTACCTCAAAAATTGAAAAAATTTCCCTCGTTTATCGTAATCGGGGGAAATCTCCAAAAAAATTACAAATTTAAAAAACGCTAATTTTCGACATTTTTTTTACTTAAAACTGTCATACATTTTTTAAAATTGATCAAATCAATATAAATTTTTTTTTATAGATGCATTATGTCTTTAATTATCATTTGGTATATTTTGTTTGTAAATTTGACACTTTACCTGCCCACAGAGGGGGGATTTAAAATGACAACTTTTTCACAAAAAATTTAATTTTTCAATTTAACTTTTGAAAGTGTTCTAGAAACTCTGACACTTTTATATATATCTTAAATTAAAGATAATGTAATATACTTTAATATGGAAAAAAAAATTTTGGACTTTATTTTGTCTTCACAGTGAAAATAGTTACCAAATGATATTTTTGTGTGAAAATTATCGATTTTATATTTTACATTTTTAACATTATAATGCTATAACTTATTGAAAAGTGTTGGATCAATTTTTTTATGAGAAATAATATTTATATCCCTTTTTTATTCAACTTTTTTTTTATTATTAATATCAGCTCCTAGATTTATTTATGTGTTAAATTAGGTATATAAATACAATGAAGGTACCATCAATGTTTGGTGTATGCGGTGAGAATAAAAGATTTCTTTCATACATTTCAAAATTTGCTTGCGTGCAATTACAGGTCTCTTCTTGAATGAATATTGTTCTAAAAACTGATATATTATGTATAATTTAGTCTCATTTATTTAAAATTTTACTCATTGTATCAATGCTGTTTCTTGTGATCACAGTAAATCTTGTGCACAAAATCGAAAATTGTGAAACACTTTATATAATTTACAAAGGTATTTTATTTCATATTAAAATATTTATTATTTTTATTTAATATTAAATGGATTTTTTTCAACTCGATGCAGATAATATTCATGTAAAGTGTAGACGTTGTCATATAAAATTAAAAAATAATCATTCTTCAACTTCAAATTTAGTTAGACATATTAAATCTAAGAATCCTTTAGCAATTTTTTTAAATAGAATGTCTCGTGTAATAGAAGAGATGATTGATGACCCAGGTATTGGTTCATCAACTTCTACTTCTGTAAGTTAAACCTATAGATAGGTGCTATTATAGGCAGATTAATTTTGCTAAAAAAAATTCATTATATTATATGCATAATTAATTATGGTTACCAGATATATTTTTTTTCATATGAGAATACTTCTTTAAATTAAAAACAGTGTTAAATACATGTAAAATTCTAAAAGCATGTTAGTAAATTTTTCATTTTTATTGAGTTATTTTTTAATTCTTTATCAGACTTATTGTATATTTCGTACAGTATACCTACTTAAAGCTTTTCTTACTGGGCATGCACCTAGTTAATAATATTACCTAACTGTATTTTTTTTTACAATTATTAACAAAGCAATTAGTCACATCATAACAGTCAACAATAAGGCACATTACTATAGATATTAATTGTTATTTTAATAAGCAAACAATTAAATCATTTTTCACTTTTAAAAATTAATTCAAATATTTATACTTTCCTTTAATTATTAATAAAAGGATATAGCTTATTTTATAATTGTAAATTCATCATTTATAAATGTCACCCAAAATCCATCAAAAAGATACACACAGTTAATAATTTAACCTCTCTTAATCAATATATAAATTAGAATATTTACCAAAAAGATTTTTTTATGATGAAAAGTTTCATTTTAATGTGTACTATTGACATATTCTTATATCTGACTACCATATATATATATATATATATGTTACAATTTCAATTAAAAAACATATAATCGTTTTCATATTTAATATTTGATTATTATTAATTAATTTATACATACAGTAGAAAAATAAGTAAATATTTATATTACTAATTAGTAAACATATATATTTTTAGAGTACAACTGTTTCAACATCTAATCTCATAAATTGCCAAACCACTTTGTCTTCAGAAATTCCATCTCAAATTTTTTTTATCTAATTATAATTGAAAATGATAATTTAAAAAATCAATTATTAATCTCAATTTAAAAGTTATAACTTTTAAGTAATAATCACACTCATCCGTGACGAGTTAATGTAGACTTCACATTTTGAAATGAAATATAAATTTAATTATATTTAGGTTACAATTTGTACAAATTCACATAACACTAATGGTAATATGTTATATCAGTTATCACTGGATCATGAAGAGTTATTAACAAATAAAATATTAAATAACCTATAAAAAATGATAAACCTTGATAAAGAATCAAATCATAATTCACATGATTCAGAATTTATTGATAAGACGTTTTAAACTAAATTCAATTCTTAGTAGCCACGCTAAGTCATTGAGTCATATTACTATGGCACACTGATTCAGCTCGTTCAGTTCAGTTTATAGTATATTTGTCTATGAGTTCACTTAAAAGAGCCAATTCACGAACTACCCATCCCTGTAAAATAGTTGTATCATAAATAATTTTTTTCTAATCTTTGATGCAAGCATGTCTCCCTAATCTATCTTTACTTCACGTTGTTATCATAAGATTGGCTTACTTCAAAAACCTCCATTGTAGTCAGCTTAACAATAAAAGCTGACAAAATATAAATGTTTTTTCAAGTTTCAATTAAGTAGAAATTTTTACTTAAAAAAATAATTAAATTTAACTAATAAATTTTACAAAATAAAATACAAAGAAAAGTGCATTGATGTTATCAAATGAGATTTAACACAAAATACGTTAAAGCGTATTTTAGAAGAGAAGAAACAACAGTGCCCTTTCCCCTTTGGATTAATTCTATCCATTTTTTACAAAGCCAATACCCACGAATTATTTCTCTTAAGATCTTTTATTTTATGTCATCTTTTGTTTTTTTGGATTTTTTTGCAAACAATTTTTCTGTAGTGTGTTTAAAATAAAAAAAAAATGTCACTTTCTCATAAAAAAAGCTTTAAATACGCCCTTGAAATTAGAGCTTCGAATAAGAGTATTTTGTAATATTTATTGAAATAAATTTTGTATCGTGTTGACGTTATTTTATAGGAGATAAAATTTTACTCTATTGTATACCCACAATTTATCAATGACCTTTTTTTTTTTTGGTGATATTTTATTTAAAAAGTTGGTTTTGTATGGTCAATAAGGGGATTTAACTATTTCAGCCCCCCTGAATGAGCCTCTCTACATACATATGTAATTCTCATACAATAAACCTCCTAATTTTGAATAAAATTACTGGGAACTTTTAAGCCAAAATATTGCTTTGTTTTTTTTATGAACGCGTTTGTTGAAAAATATAAAATCATATCTTTAAGGTAATCTTCAGTGCTTTATTATACTATAAAATTTCTCTGTTCGGTATTATTTTCTAATTGGAAGGCTTAGTGAAACAACCAGATAAGTTCAACTTTTCCAGAAAATAATTTTTTATTTATTTTGAATAAACATAACTTTTTGTGTAATTCAGTACAAAAATTATTTCTATTTTTCTATTATTTTTATTATTAGATATTTAATTTAGAAAAAAATATCGATTTTGATGCAAAATTTTGATAAAATTGTTTTAAAAAAAATTATAAAAAATGGTCTTATCTGGTTGTTGCACCAAGCCCATCAAATACTGTTTATTATGTGACATTTTTTTTTCAACCAAAATATTCTATCATTTTTAATTTTTAAATGTGATTACTTTTTATCTTTTAATACAATTCTTGTAAAAATCACTTGGCTTTTACAAATTATTTTGATTAAATTTTACTAAATATTTGTTTAAATAAAATCAATAATATGGCATCCAATGTTTTAGAAAATGAAAATTGCGTTTTAAAATTAAGTTTTCCGAGTAATTTTCCTGGTTGTTGTTATGGTAAACGATTATATTAAATATCGACTGAGGTGAACAAGAACGAATTCCCGGAATAAAAACATCAATATGTGAATATTATTGGATTTTGTACTACCTCCTTCAAAACAGGAGTGCGCACTATCGATGGCAAAGACCTCAGTTAGTACCTGCAGACTTTTCAACTGCTGCGTCAGCAACGATAACTTAAGGCTTGGTCTTGGCAGTTGGCCTCGCTATCCGAGCGTCACGCCCATCACTTACAACCAAAACGTTCGCGGGGGCGCGAGCTACTGTTGGTGGGAGGGACATAGCCAGCCGTTCTATGTTGTTATTACGTTCTGGCGTTCAGCTGATCAGCTGTTTATAATTTTCTCAACGAAGAACAGCAGTGGCGCTACATCCGTTCATCCGTCGTTTGTTTAATATTCTCCTCTCGCGTACCATCAGACGTTCGTCGTTGTGGCCACAGCCACCACTGCTGTCGTCTGTTCAACACGGTCCTCTGGAACGGCGTTGTTTTTGTATGTGTGATATATACACGGGGAAACGGGACGTTTCCGTTGTAGTTTCTTTGTGCGGTAGCCAGTAATTGGCGATACACGAAAGCAAATTTGTTTTTAGTGTGTAGAATTCTGCATCGGGACGGTAGCCCGTTTTCCCCGATTGTCGCCCGTTCGTTCCGTCCCCTCTCGAGGTGCAATCGATTGTCCGTGTGTGAACGCGACCGACCGCAGCCGCCGTCACCATGGATTACGATTGCTCACACATTTGTGACGTCGTTCAAAATTTGGACGTCAACGAAATGAGGGTGACGTTGAAGAACAGGAGTTGTAATGGTGAGCATTGTTGATGTGATTAAAATTATTGTTATGTACAATAATATAGACATTAAAATGCTATCTGTAACAATGAAACAAAGCTTCTAGAAAAAACTAGCTTGTATACAGTTGAAATTGGTGGGGATGAAAAAGAGAAGCACAAACATGTATTGTATGCCCATTGTCAAGATTATTCTTAAGATTAATTATCATTATGTGGATTTATTAATTATCGTAGAATAATTTGCAATTTAATTATTTTAATCATTCAATAAATAAACTACTTTACATTTAAAAAAATTATTTTTGCAAGACCACAAATTTTCAGAAATATTTCAAACACTTTTTTAATAATCTCTTAATTAAACATAGAATATTATTATTATAATCTACATTGAAAATGATAAAATATTTGCAAATCCTGTGAATTTTGTATGTGTTGTTGTGTGATACTACTTATTATTTGAGAATCATTTGTCATAAATCGATCAATACTTGTGGAATCGATGTAATTGATAAATTAGTATTAAGAATTTTTTAGAAAATGTTTTCTGAATTTATCTTTAGTAGAAATTATTATTGGTAGTATATCTAATGAAATATGTTAATTTCCTTAATATATAATTTAAGGAGACATTTTTTAACTCGCAAACAATAATATTTAGTATTAGAACTAGTGTTCTAATGTGTATATTTTTAAATACAGAAATTTTATCACTTTGAAGCCAATAATAAAAAAAATTAGAGTACTATAAATTTTGTGATAAGGAAAATTTCTTTAGCATTACTCTATTATTTATATTCCATTTGCTGTGTTCTTTAATTATACTTAATTAAAATCTAATGCAGTAAACTACAAATTTACTCTATTGTAGATAAAATTGTGTACTATTTATTAGCTAGTCAAACAGCAATCATACATGTACAGACTTTTAATACCTTCATTTCATTATATATTGCATAATAATTTTAGGGACACTTTTCCTAAAATTTACATTTTTGATGTTGGTGCGACATCAAAAAAGTAAATAAATGTTTTTACTATTAATACAAATAAACATGGCATAAATTAAATACAAATATTATATTAAATTTTACTAAATAAATAATATTGTAGTTGTATAATCTGTTATAATATAATATATTTATAATTATAATATAATTTGTAAAATTAAACACTATATAAGTGGTTGATTATCCACAGATAATTAGCAAAGAACCTGAGTACATTTTCTATTATTTCATTAAAATGTGAAAGAATCGTAAAATTTGGGGTATTTACTTATAAAATATATATCAGTTCATAGAACTCCTAAAGATATATGTAGACCTCTATTTTAAAGTTGGCTAAAATTTTTTTTCTCAATATTTTGAAAATTGACAGGCCTTATTTTTACCTTTCAATTTTATTTTACTTTTTAATTAATATGACTAATCTTATCATATATTATAGTTGATCATAATAAATAAAGTATATAAAANGATCATAATAAATAAAGTTAAGACGAATAAATTACCCTTCATTAGATTCTGAGAAGGCGTTACTACTCCTTAAAAAATGTGTTTAATCTTTTGTCCTACTATCAAAATATAGTTTATGTAATTATTTTTTTTTTGTAAATTATTATAATTCTTGTTTTATATATTTTTTATGTAAAACAATAAAAAAATATATATAACTACTATATTGTTACAGTTAATAAAATTAATTTTTTAATCTAGTTTGTTTAAGAATTGATCAACTATGGATCTGTATGGTGTGTAGGCAAATTCTTTGTGGACGTTATGCTTCAGGACATTGTATAGCTCATTTTGAGTATCACAAGAATCATTGTATTACTCTAAATATAGAATCAGCGACATTATATTGGTAATTATTTAAGAACTAATACCTCGATGCAAAATTATTAAATAATTTAATGTTAATAAATTTTTTTTTTCATTACTTATTTTAACAATATTTTTTTAGCTATAAATGTGATAAAGAGGTTGAGCCCAAAAACCATGATGATGAACTTAATCGTTTAAGACAATTTATTTTGTTTACCCAGGGTACTAATCAGAGTAAAAAACGCCGGTAACTAATTTGAATAAAAATTATTTATATTCAATTTTATAATAAATTGGAACATAATGTTACAACACAAGTAGTAACGTAGAAATAGACACATAGTTCAGGTTAGGAGTAGATTGTTGTATAACCAAAAATTTATCCTGGGAAAAATTTTTCTTAAAACTTTTTTAGAAAATATTTATCATAATTCAGTGGAAGTAAAAAGAGTGAAATTAGTATTTGTCCAATTTGGATAATTATGTGAAAATCTTTAATAATAATAATTTCTTTATCTGATTAAAAAAATGCATTTTGTAATTTTTTTGTGTTAATATTTAACCCTTCTATTTTCCTAAAATATTTCATTATATCCATGATACAACAAAGCAGTCTACTCATAAAATTAAGTCAAAAATTAGAATTTTAGAATGAAAAAGGAATACAATAGTTGAAAAAAACACCTATTATTGTAGGTGTTTTCTTTCTCTTGTGTAATTTAGTAGACTATATAAAAATAAATCATTGCTCTATGTGTTATCTATAATTTTTACTTTTATTTTTAATCTATGTAATATTCAAGTATTTATAATATATTTTACTTAAGTAAATTACTAAATATTTTATTGTTCTATACTATAACAGACAAACTGCGAATCAACAAATTGCTAAAAAGAAAAAAACAGTTAATAGAAGGGGTCCAAGAACAAATAAAAAGGCAGGACTAACAAATGAAGGAAATAGTTGTTTTATGAATGCTGTATGGCAATCTCTAAGGTGATTTCATACTTATTTCAATTATGAAGTATAAAAATATATGTATATTTTAACATTTTACCTTTCAACTAAAGTTCAGAGTTTCTTTGTAAATTTATTTATTTTGATTAACTTATATATAATATAATTATTTATTAAAATAAGTTTTGTTAAATAAAAATTTTAAGATATTTTGTTTTTCTATTATAAAAATTGTGAGGTTAATTAGAAAAAAATTAGTTTTAATGGTAATGGTTTATTCTGAACTCTTTTATGAATTAATTAGATTAATTAACATGTTATTTGAAATTCCTAATAAGCAAAAGTGTTTTAAAAATCGAAATGTTAATTTTGAGAAAACTACATATAAGTATTTTTTTTACTTTTATCATTTGCTAGTATACTTAATTCAATAAAAATTTATTCATTGTTATAGCTTTTTCGATAAAGGAATACATGGAAATAATAATAAAAGCGTTTATTTAACTTATTACATGAATAAAAGCTTTTATATTATTACTTAGTGATATAAGACGTATGTATACCTTTATTTATTAAAGAATAACACCTAAAGTTAGTTTTACAACATTATTGATTAATAATTATAAATATGCTACTAAAGTAAAACACAAATAATTTTATAAAACAAAATATTATGATATAAAATAAAACATTGTTTCACTTTTTAGGGTGAAGTGGGGTAATGTAAATTATATTAAATAATAACTTGTGCATTTGTTTAAAAAAACGCATTTACAAATACCCCACATCACCATATCAAAAATAAGATTATTTTATTATTTCAAAAACTGATATAATTATATAAAACATAAAATTAAAAAAATAATATTAGTATGTTTATAGTAATTATGAATATACAAACAAATAATAATCAGAAAAAAATTAATTTATTAATTCATCTGAATGTATTGCACGAAATTAACACTTTATATAATATTGTATATTCTATTCTATCGAATACTCTGTTTTTACCCTAACAACGACTAAACAGATGAAGAATACGAAAATAAAGAAAAAAATTCACGCTACCACATTGAATGAAACACAAGTGAATGTAAATTACACTGAGTAAAAAGTAGAAATTCAACTATTAAATTTATTTCTGTATATTCACTGAATAAACAAAAGACTTAAGTACTGAAGTTATCGTTCAGTTGTTGCTGTCCATTTGTGTTGCTTAGTAATTGCTGACCATCTGCCACCACCGTTGTCATCTCCTGTTTATGTTGCCAACATCTAACGTCTTCCAGTTTTAGTTCCCAGATGCTTTTTGTGCCAATTATCGTTGTTCACTGCCACCGCATTCAGCAGCCATCATCACCCTTGAAATCCATATACATTGCCATTGTGACAAAGTGATCACCGCTTAGTTTAGAATGTTGTCGAGAGGATGACTGCTAGGGCAGCTCTAACAGTCATCCTCTTGGTCCTCCTGACCCACATGGGTAACTTGTGTTCTTAACACCAATATACATGTGTTTTGGCGTATGCCTGGTGGGTCCCTTATCCACATATGTGTGTTTTAATAAGAAAGATTGTGCTTATTTGAATAACCATCACGGGTATGTTGTCTCGCATTACCAATGACCAAGCCATAAGTGATCTGTTGAGACCAGTCATGGCAGAGACTTTAGATAACCTGTATACATCGCCACTGACAAATCAAGAATCAACAACAAGATATGGATCACTACGCCGTACCAACCATTGACTCCAAGTCAGCGAATATCCGACACCCGTAGCAATAAAATGCTTCACACACCATGCTCATTTTTTTATTATTATATTTAATTTAAAATGTTGATCATGTATTTATAATATTCAATATAAATAAAGTTAACCACATTAGGAAAATATAACAATTTAAAAGCTATTAATATACAATGTCACTACATCTGGAGAAATAGTTGAAATACTAAACAATACAATAGTAACTTGGTTAAATATGTTAATTAGACACTCTGTAAAAATAATTTGTTTTTATGTGAGATACAGTATTCTTACTAAATACTAATAATTTATTTTATTACTTACAGTCTTTCTAAAAATCATAATTGATTTTATGGCATATTTAGTATTTTTTATAATAAAAATTTGCATAATTGGTAAATCTATCAGACCCCATATATAACTAGTTTTTTTGGGGGGGAGAGAGGGCTACAGTACTTTTGCTTAGCAGGCAATATAAGCATTTATGTATTGTATTTATTAAAAGTTATGAAACCAAGTTATTTAAATAATTATTGTTGGCTAATGTATTATGAATTTTATTTTGACTAAATAATTTGATAATAATTATTTAAAGTATTAATTCAAAGTTTTATTTAAATTTTTTAGTAATATAAGTCCATTTGTATATTGTATGAAACATTTACCTGCTATCATCAATAATAACTATACTAGTCTTAAAGAAATAAAAAATGGAGTTATAGCTGAAGAGTTATGTAAAGTTTTGATCAATTTATCTGAGTGGAAACCACCTGGCTATAAAATGGGAGATCCTGTATCATCTTGTGCTTTGTATCACATTATATGTAAAACCGTTCCTCGTTACAGGTCAGTTAATTTACAAATATGTATAAATCTACAAATTTAATTATTTTAAATTTGAAAAGAAAGAAGCAAATAAGCTATATGTTATTATTATTATTATTTATTTACAAAATAATCCTAAACAACAGCATTAGCTTCTTATTAACATTGTTTATGATAATATTTAAAATTTTAAGAAATTGAAAAAAATACTTAAAATTACATAGAAGTATATGGTGATTTAAAAGTTTTTATCTGTTTATAAATTAGTATAAATCAGTAATCGCTAGACCTGGATTAGTTATCCGTTCGTCACTAATAATAAATTTGTCAAATTTATTTCTACTATTAATAGCATAGACTAGAACGTAAGATACAAAACCCTTTCTGTTGTGGGATCCCTTATTTTGTTCACAAATTGATTTTTGTATACTAATCAATCACTAGTTCTATTACATTTGTTGATAGTGGAAATAAACTTGATAAACATATTGTTTCAAAGATGCATTAATAATTAATGTAGTGGTTATTAAGGTAGAATAATCCTATATTTTAAAATTTTATGGTAAATACAATTTATGGTAGGAAAAAAATTGTTTTTAGTTAAATGCCATTGTAAGTTTTTTTTTGAGCTTTGTAGTGGTAAAAAATTGATAATTTTAATGAAATAATGTTATAATTAATATAAAAATAGATTATAATTTTTATTATCTGATTTTTATTTACTCTAGAGGATTTCATCAACATGATGCTCATGAGTTTTTGATTTACACATTAGATAAATTACATTCCGAATTAAAACAGTTAGATATTGAACAAGAAATTAAAATGTTTGATCGTTCTACAATTGTCAGCTTTGTTTTTGGTGGTATGCTGTTAAGTGAGGTGATTTATTTTATAAATATAAGGAAAATTTGGGCAGAGTTCATGTAAAGATTGTTAATTTTGGATATTTTATGTTAATTATTTTGGAAAAGCATGAAACATTGTTAACAATTTTATATTTATGTGTCCATTGATAATAAAGTAATTAATAAATGAAATTAGGTATAAAGCATAATTCTTATATATGGAATATTATGATTTTTAGATTTACTAAAAAGTAACTATTTATGACTTGTTTCTCTTTATATGAACTTCGTCCTTTTTTGGTTATTTTTTCAACTTGTATTAATTTAGATTATGATAATTATTTTAACTGTTGTAGTAATTATGAAATGGGTAAAGAGCAACTTAGAAACAAATTTGGAGTACTAACAATAGTATAATGACTCTCGGATTTGAATTTTTATTTAACACTTCTCAATATGAGATTAACTCTTGTTTATAGTTATGTTTTGCATTTTTTCTATTCTTTTCTCTTGCAGTTTAGGTTAGAAAAAAGATAAAATTATAGGTGCAGGTTTCTTTCTATTAATAATTTTTTACCATTGGTTGGAACATTTGATAAAATTTTTAGGGAGACTATTGTATTATAAATAATGACAAAAGTAATATTTAGATTTGAGAGCTAAGGCTTCAAAAGACCCAATGATAGCCTATATTTTGATAATCAAAACTACTAAAACTTTCTTTATCAAATTTATCTTATTTATGTAAACTATATACCATAAACTTATTATCCAATAGAGCTTAGAGAGGAAAATAAAATGATAGAATGATTAAAAAGGGAAAAAGATAGTACTACCCTAGTTATATTTTTCTCATTCACACTATTTTGACGATTACGAACAAGGTGGTGTCGTAGGTACTCTTCATTAATTTATATATCTTTACAATCTTTGACATCATTTTAGAAATATTATTAATATTGATATTTCTCAAATACTGTCAGGGATATATTCTGTACAACTTAGTTTTAGTTTTAGTTATTAGTGAGGTGGACAAATGCCCATGCACTCAGACCTGTTAGTCCATTGTGCACACCTCATACCGAATTGTCTTGATTCGGTTTACACACCTAAGTGTTATCACCAAAGTGTTATTACTTTATACTTATCATTGTATAAAGGTGGACTATCAAGTCACCCCCTGTAGATGACCAAAGAGTCCTGTCTTTCTGGCGAAATTAAGTATCTCTCTGGGTCTTAGGTTTTTAATATCTTCATTTTCAGGAAAAGGTTTACTCAAGTAGTTTAATCTTAGTGTGGATAAGGCTTCACAATCCCACATAATGTGAAAAGAGTCTTCATCTTTTACTCCACATTTCCTGCACAATGGTGATTTAAATACCCCATTGCGTAAGGGTGTTTAAACAAGTGACCATGTCCTGTTAATAGACCAATCAAAGTGCTTATTTGATGTCTAGTCATGCTGTTGAGATCACCCAGCAGTAGACCGGGGGTCTTGATAAATATTTTAGATTTTTTAGGTATTACCAAGTACTTCCAGATTTTCCTGTGTTGTTCTCTGCACCAATTCTTGGGTAGCGATTTGTGCGATTTCTCAGTGAATCATACCACTGGTTCTGGTCTAACATAGGTGTTCTCTGCTCCTTTCCTGGCTAGAAAGTCAGCATTCTCATTTTCAGTAACACCGTTGTGTCCTGGTACCCACGCTAGTGTAACTTTGTTGAACCTCGATAGTGATTCTAAAGTTTCCTTGCATTCGAGGACCAGCTTTGAATTCACCTGATCGTTACAGAGTGCCTTCAAAGCCGCTTGACTATCACTTAAGATAGTTATCTTCCTATTTTGGTATACCAGCAGGTTCTGAGCCCCTACCAGTATCGCCATCACCTCTGCTTGGAAAACAGAGGGTATTGTGCCCAATGACATACTGACATTTATTTGTGGCTTTAAACCCCAAATTTCAGCACCTATCTTTCCTGATTTTTGGATCCATCTGTATATATCACAAATCCTCCTTTTTCAGTCAGGTAGTTAATATTCCATTCTCTACGTGTAGTGAATGGAATATTAACAGAGATGAGGACGATTAGCTCTTACCCTTCTTGCAGAAGTGCACGGAAAAATTCTTCACAGCCTGCAGCTTTGAATCTGCCAAAGGCTTTTATTGCCCATCTTATTCCACTTGGGTTTATTACTCTTCTGGTTAGTTTCCAATCAGTACATGTCACTTGTTTGTCCTGTATATTATGTAACTGTTCTCTGTTGTTAATTTCAGAGCCAGAAAAATATGTATTCATCAAATGTGATAATGTTTCATTTTCATTATTGGTAAACATGCCATCTAGCAGTAGTATTGCCTCGACAGTTTTGTTTGGTCCATTCCTTAGTGATTGCAGAAGTCTAGTTGCTATAGGGAATTTCTGTATATTCCAACAGAACTTTTTCCAACTTTCTCTTTTGGACTTTTTCAATGCACATTTGCACTTCCTTTGGGCTATTTTATAGGATTCCCAGTGATGTTCCAAACCTAATTTCATCGCTTTATTTAAGAGCTCATATGAACTCTTTCTTAATTTAGACGGGTTAGCGTTTCACTAAGCTACACCCTGCCCTGTACCTTTCTTTTCTATTAAAGGGCAGTTTTTCTTGTAAGCCGAAACAATGGAGTCCTGTAGTATATTTACAGCCCTTTCAGTATTCTTCCTCGACCCCAATCTAAACTGTAGGTTATTCAGGTCATGTGAAAGATCTGACTTGTAGTTATCCCAGTTTGTTCTTTTTGGATTTTTATAGTACTCCGTCTCAACTTTTTTAATTTCCAAAGTAAATCGTAAGTGCCTATGATCAGAAAGAGAAGGTTCGGAGGACACTTTCCACCCTTTTATATTTTGAAGTAAACTTCAACCAATCAACCTTTTGCATTTTAAAATTATTTGAAAATTTAGATTTAATATACAAATTCTTCATTATATTGGTTTTAATAATACCGGTGGCAACAATAATCTGTTTCAATGGACCATAAGTTATTTTTTAGGTATGAAAAAAAAATTACCACACCACCTTGCTTAAAAATGCACTATTGAAAATTTATATTTAATATAGAATCATGTGTCTATCCTTTGAAGGTTAAAGGGTGGTAACCCCCTCCAAAAATTATTTGCAATGTTAGATTCTTTTTAGCTGCCCATAAAATATTTAATTTGATGACCTGTTTTCCATTTGTTCATGAATATTTCTGAGATTAGTAATGCAAAAAAATATATGGAGTATTTCGAGTTAAACAACAATTTCTTTACAATAATTTTTAATAGTTTCAATGAATATGAGTGTTTATCTTCAATGAATCACTCTGTATTACTATTATAAATTGAACTAAATTTAATATTTTTTGTTAACCATTGATATCTTGAAAATTATTCTTAAAAATGTATGCTTTTATGAATATATATCTTGTATACATTTATAGGTCTGCTGTTTAGTGTGTCGATTATATTCCAAAACTTATGACCCTTTTTTGGATATTTCATTGGATATTCCTGATTACACTGAATCTGACAAACAATTAGCAATGCGTCCAATGGATACATTAACTGGTATGTACTTATATTCTAATTTTTTAATAAAATTTATTAAGTTTATATTTTATTTTTTAAGATTGTTTATCTCGATTCATTGAAATTGAAGAACTCGCTGAAAATAACTTTTATTATTGTAATGGTTGTAAAAGTAAACAAAAATCAACCAAAAAATTCTGGATAAGCCAACTACCCAATGTAAGATAGATTTTATTAAATACATTATTTTATATTTTATTTAATAATAATAATTACAATTACAATTAATATTTTATTATAGGTTCTTTGTTTACATTTAAAAAGATTTAGATGGGTCAAAGCACAACGTATTAAAATTCATACTCCTATACAGTTTCCAATTGAATCCTTAGACATGTCTCAGTTTTTATTAAGTGACAAACGAGTAACTATTGACAAAGAAGACTGTTTGTATGATTTGTCAGCTGTCATTGTTCACGAAGGCAATGGGTAAATTTACTTTTACAGTAAAATAAATTATATTTTTTTAATTTATATAATTAATTTGTAGTGGTGGATCTGGCCATTATACCTCTTTTGCAATTGATAAAGGTATTTAATTTTCTAGATAATCTTATAAAAATTCATTTATAAAAACAAATGTTTTTTAAGATGTTATGTTTTTTAATTTTAGGCGAGTGGTTTGAATTTAATGATGAAAAAGTTCATGAGGTTAATTCGTCAATTGTACAAAATGTAGAGGCGTACATACTATTTTATATTAAAAGGAAAACTAGATTAAGATCTCAAAGTCTTTTGGGTGGTAGACACATCATTAACAATGAACTATAATTGGTAGATATAATGAAAAATTATTAGTTAAATGTAATTTTTGTATTACATTTTGATCTTCAAGATACAAATAAAAAATATAAAACAATAAAATTGCCTTAAACTAACAGTATTCTTATTATTGTAAGTGTGTTTCAAGCTTTAAATTATTGTTGTAGATTATATTTCATAATCAATCAATTGTGTAAATAAATTCGTATTTTTATATTGTAAAATTATAACATGTAAATACACATAATATATAAGTGGGAAATGCAATATTTGTATTTGAAAACCTAAATTAATTGAAAAAAAATTGTTTTTTGACTGTCATAACTGAATTCTGATCTCTTTCTTTTGTATAATACATATATTTTTTAAATGATTTTGGTTTTTCATTGTGATTTTTTGTTAATTTCTTTCAATTGAAAAATTGTAATTTAATTCATAATAATAATTTGTTAATTTTAAATTTAATATGGGCAGCTCAGAGTAGGAATAATCAATATAATTTTTTATATTGTATTTTAAAATTATCTTCACTGCCAAATTTGTTTTATAAAATTATGTTTATAATTTATTTAAAAAAATAAAATTTATTATTGCTATAAAAACTATTCCCAAAGTTTGAGATTGAACAACTTTGTATTTGTAACAATTATCTAGTCTATAATAAGATTAAATTAGAAATTTTATAACTATCTGGACTTAAAATATGTGATATTATTCCAATATGTAATTAAGTAATAAATTATTTGTCTTGTAATTTATGAAATATAGCAGTTTAAATTAAAATTAAATTATATTTTTGTTCAAAATAGTGATTTAATATATTCTAGAATTTCTGAAATCTAATTTCAATGAAGTATTTTATTATTTTTGTCAGATTTATCAGAAATCTTTATAGTTTAATGGGATTTACTACACTCAAAACTTTTATTATTTTTAATTATGGAGCTAAAATTATTGCTATCTTCGGACGCCCATATATTTATCTTATTATATAATTTATTACTTCAATTGTTTATAAATATTTAAATTATAACGTTTCTTCATCTACATTCATAAACTATTTTATAATTATACATATATTAAATTTTATAATAATGTAAGGGAGTTCCTTAAAAAAAAGTAATTAGATTAATTAATATTTATTCATTGTAAAATTATACTACATGGTCTGTGGTTAATTGATTTTGTGTTTGTAGAAAACATATTAGTCAGTTTATTTAAAAGATTGGTTTTTATAAAAGATTATTGGATATTAATTTTGAAAGTTCATTATAAAATTAATTATTTAACGAATTGAATTAGTGTTGTGTTTAGTATTAAACATAATTGAATAATTAAATATTTAGTTAGTATTAAGTTTTATAAATATTGAAGATTTTTATTAATATTATGTGTCTTACGGCACTATAATAATTTAATTAATGGTGACATATTTGAGCCTTGTGCGATGGGATTTTTGTTTTATAAACACACGTGTTATTTTAGTAATACAATTCAATTGATTTTACATAAAGTTAAATTAAATATTATTTATTACTTTTTATTCGCCTTTGTTGTGATTAGTGAAGTATAATTTCAATATTAGCGATTATCAAATAATAATTCGTCCGTTTGAGTGTCGTATTTTCATTGAATAAATTAATTTTGTTCAAATGTCTTAATAAATTAGTAGTTAGTTTTGATCCCCAATTTCAACTATTTAGTAGTAATAAATTATGCTCCGGTGGTCTTTAATATTTTCATTGGTCGATCAAGTGCAAAGTTATTAAATCATGTGATCACTTTACGGGTCTTCACCACACTCTTCTTCATAATGACACCGCGACAATAGATAATTGACAACCTGCTGATGTATCATTAGTTATCATGTCAGAGCATCCAACAGTGTTAGGTACCCGCATTGACCAATGGTTAAGATCGAATTGTCTGTATACAACCTGTTAGAGTTCTTATTGATTCCGTGTTATAAATTAATGTGACGTGCATGAATTTCATGCGCAAAACGTTTAGGACTAAAACGCACAAAATGGAGTGTGTCCATTACAGCTCTGTCGGATATATTGGTTCCAAACGTTGATGGTTTGGTTAACTGTATAGTATTGCTTTGTCATGAAAAACATATCATCCAAATATAGGAATAGATTCTGTCTAAATTTATTGATACCATACCTTCCAGCTATGTTAAATATTTCAGTCATTTAGCGCTCGCTGGCTCGATTTCCATCATCGATATATACTGATGGTCAATATAAAGTGTTGTTGTGATACTGAACAAATCCATGATACCAGTGACAGGTTGGTTATTCCACTGTCCTTCCTTTAAGCACAAATATAAAACTTTTTCTGGTTCTAGGCAGGTTGGTTATATTACTTTGTAAATTTGGAAAGAAAAATTCAATCCGATTAGGTGTAATATAATGAGTATATACAATTCATGCACGAGTATAAAAAATTATGGCACATTGTCCATTGCTACAGGACCCGGGGTGCATTTTATTCTACAACACTCAGTAGTCAAAAGCATTCTATCTTCAATTAAATTAAGATTGGTCTTTGAAGCATCAGCAATTGCATCCAATAAGTTCTATCTAATTAATGTTTACAAACAGAGCAAGATATCACTGATGTGTTACTGAGATTTTACGTTTATACCTTTACTATCGATATGTGTAAGATGTATCGGTAAATTTTAGTTCTTCACAAATATAGTAAATATCAGCACATTTTTTGGCGTACGTCTCTATTAGAAAATGTGTAAGAGTTTCAAATGAATATTGTGACGAATGGGGTGGACAGCGCTCTGAACTTGACTTTGAAAGTTATCAAGGACATAGCAACATAGGCATGCGTTGGATTTTCCTATGTTTAAGATACGTAAACTGAATAAACTTATGTTAATGATTTTAGGCGCAGACAGTGTTAATGATAATATTAGTGAATCTGACCTATAGGGGTAGTTCATGGTCGCGTTGATTTGGAGTTCAAAAGGTGGTCAAGTAATTCGCAAATTATTTTGTCAGTCGTCCCTCGGGAAGATCGGATTACTGAATTACACAGTTTAACGAAAAATAAAGATTTCTGAGAAGATTTTGGGGCTTCAATGTTCATCCATCGTCTTGTACTCCAACTAAATGTGCCATTTTGTTAACAATTGCAAAGGTTTATAATTCAGTTGGATTTATTGGTCATGTAATTATTTTATACCAAGCATATAATATAAGAATTTAGAACATGAATGTGTTGTGGGACGATTCTTATTCTCTGGAGTTGTAGAGTGTTAGACCATTTTTATTAAGGATATCAAGAAAGAAGTCAAGATAATTGTGAAGGAGAATCAACTATCTCCATACTGTATGGCGATTTGAACGAATCGTTCAAATGAAAGCAGGTGTGAATGTTGTGATTAGGGTATCTAAAGTATAAACTACACAAAGCAAGCTAATTAGACCTGTAGAAAAATTAATAGATTTTTCTATGGAGTAATATCCACTCATTATATTTTATAATTAAATATTATAGATATAAATGCATAATTTTATATTACTTCATCTGGGTTATTTGTTACATTTCACAAAAATGTGTTTTATTATTATACAATGCCTTGCATTAGTCAATTAAAAGTAATACTGAGCTGTGGAGGGGACGACAATGGAGGTAATTGCTCAACAACAATCAATGAAAAAATCTTAAGTATTACCAACGTCATTAAAAATTCAGCAAATATAGAAATTGGCATAACTAAAACAAGAGTTGGGAAAAAACAGATGTCTCTGTAGAACATTAAAATAAACAAACAATCAAAACAATTAAAAAATGTCAAATTTCACAAAATATAAATGAAAACAAACTCATAAAATGTAACACGTTATTTAATAAATACAGTCAAACCTGAAAAAGCTTACCATGAAATAATTTTATTAAGCATTGAAAAACTGTTATAGTCTCAACCCGGGAATAGATGATATAACATGTTACCTCCTTCATCCATCATACGAAATTTAAGTCACGCTAGTATTTACTAAATTTTTATAATGAAATATGGAGATATAGTATCCTCTTAAGCTGAAAACATAATGTAATTATTCTAGTACCAAAATTTAGAAAAAACTTATTTGATTATAAAGTTACCAACCTGTTTTATTTAACAGCACTTTAGATAAGCTACTTGAAAAAATCATTAACATCAGATTAAAATGCTTTATTGAAAAATTAAACTTTCTCACTTTATAACAAAATGATTTAAGACACTACAAAGGACCATATAATTGTTTACACATCATTTAAAATGAAATTAATAATTGGATACATTACTAAAAATCAACGGGAATGATAAGTTTTGTCGTAGCAAATACCTATGACAAACTTTGAAATCTAGAATAGTAACTATATAATTTCCTATAACGGAAACATACTCAAATAATTAGCTAATTTTTGGAATGATTGCACAATCATACTAAAATCAGTAATAAATTTAATTGATTTTTTTATCAAGAAATTGAAATTCTGTTAAGATGAACGGTTTTAGTCTTATTTTTTCTCAGGAAGGGTTTCAAAATGGCAACTTTTTCACAAAAAATTAACTTTTGAAAATGTTCCGAAAAGTCTGACACTCTTATACATACCTTAATTCAAGCTTATGTAATATACTTTAATTTTAAAAAAAAATTGACTTCAGGATTTGTATTAATGGTGAAAATGACTACCGTATTCAAAAATATTTGAAAATGAAATTTAATAAAATAAAATTTTTGTGTTAAAATTCTGGGTTTTGTATTTTATTTTACCTGAAAAGGGTAGTACACTGATTTACATTAATATTATATAAATCAAATTTATAAAGCATAAAAAAGTAAACTTATTAAAATTTTTTTGCTCTTTTTAAGTCGAGAAAAATAACTTTGAAATTTGAACTAGCTTAAATTTTCATTTTTTTCAGTCGACGGAAGCGATTGGTACGTACGGTTGTCAGTCGGTAACATTTATGTCTTGTCACTTGTGAGTTCCAATCCGCGTATGGCAAGGAGTTGTTTTCTTAATTCTTTTTAAGTTAGAGCAAACTTTCAACTCCTTTGATTTTTATCTCATTTAGATTCAATAACTTCAATAAAGATCAAGGATCCCATCTCTGTAGTCACCTCTCATGAGAAGAAATTTCTTATTCATATTAAAATTATTTTACTATATTTTAGGTTTTAGCTTCGATGCAAAGCTGAGAAGGTATTTTTTTGTGACTATCATTTATTTTCTCTGCTCTAACTTGACCTACTTTTTTCAATGATATGTCAAATTATTACAATTCGTATTTCGTTGAAGATATTACCTTCAAAAATTGGAAAAATGACAACTTTTTTACAAGAAACTAACTTTTTCAGCTTATCTTTTGAAAGTGTTCCGGAAAGTCTGACACTTTTATATATACCTTAAATTAAAACTAATGTAATATACTTTAATTTGAAAAAAAAAAATTTACCTCTGGATTTGTCTTCATGGTAAAAATGACTACCGTATTCAAAAATATGCTATTTTTAATTGTAAATTTCTGGGTTTTGTATTTTATTTTATTTTAAAATACCTGACAAGGGGAGTACAGATTTTCATAAATATTATATAAATAAAAAAGATATAGCATAAAAAGATATAGCACAG